ATTCGAATGCGCGATTCGAAGCCCCTCCCATTTTGTGGATCGATACGCACTTCATTCATTTCGCATTTGCGCAGATTCGTTCGGTTCGAGCGTCCTCCTCTCGTGGCGCAAACTATGAACAATGCCTTAAGTATAGCAGCGCATGGTTAATGGTTTGTAACGGTTGCCTAGCAGCAAAGCTGAACTGATCTCTGTTTACATATTGTTTTTAGCGCTGTTTTATTTAAGGAAAACATTTCGGTGCCGAGAGCCCAAGGCATTCAAAACCACGACAAAAGCTGGCCGCCATTTTTCTTTCTAAGTCAGGCCATTTCACATCAAACCAGGAATACCCTCCTCTGCAATCTCCTGTGTCCTTTTTTGACGGAGCACTTTGCAAGGAACTCTTTCGCCTGCCCAAGTTATCTGAGGGAAGGTGTGATTTAGCAGTAGCTACAGAAACATGAGAAGTTGCTGACTTTTTGCTTCAGGGTTATTTGACGTTTTTGTTACGCTTTTCGATCTTTTATTCTTACTCTTAATACGTTTCTTGTGCTAGTGAGGTTGCCAGCAGGTTTTTATCGTTAGCCCGATTTGGCCTTCTGACCAAATCATATTCCTCTATGCAAGTCTACCACTACGAGAACAAAACGATGTCGCTCGAGATGTCGGCGAGGGGTGAGGGGGGAGTGCGTGAGCCACGTTTTCATGTAGCAAAAGTTTGAACGTGTGAAGTCCTCATAGTCGTGGACCTTTTTAGCGAAGGGCAGAACGCTGACTTATTCAAAGGACCGAGTTCAAGCGGTCCTTAGAAATTCTGTGCTTGGCGCCGCGCTAACCATTGTTATGCAAGAAATAGCCTAAGAAAAAGTAGCTTTGAAACGGTTGTTGTTCAAAGGATCACTCGAACGACAAAGGTGCACTGTGCATTTTCTGAGAGATCACTTCATATGTGCTCCTGTCCCTAATCGGACTTCTTGTGTGCCAAATAAAACTGACCTCACAGGTGATTAGCAAACACTTATCTACTGCCCTGATGGGGTGGAAGGTGAAATCTTACAGTTTCATAGGAAAAAAAGGCGTATTAAATGGTCTACAGGCTATCTGACGGTGAGCTCGGTTCTTTAAAAAGCGTCAATGCGCTGTCCACGTCAGCGTTCTCTCCCTTTAATAGTGTCTTGACCACTGCGACTTCGCACGCGTCAGTTCTTGGCTTACGATCTGGAGGTACCCGACAGGAGGCCCGTCGCGCGGCAAGAAGGCAAAGTCAACGGACGAGTCGCAGCGTGTACTGTAGCGATTTCGTTTAATTAAAATGTACCATGCATTTTGGTACATTGTAATTAACTTGACGCGAAATCACTACCACGCGCTGCGACTCGTCCACTGACTTTGCCCTTGATAGCAGTGTTCGGAGTTAAAATTGGAAGCATCGTGGCGTGTTACTTTATCCAAGAAACGAGAATCCAATTTTTTACAGGGCAGGAAATTAGAGTATTAATGATTAGCTTTTGGAAAAAGGGGACTGAGTATGTATCAAAATGGAAATATTAACCATTATGAGAACGTGGTTTTGAAAGCCTGAGTGCGCTGCGCTGCGATGCGGGTGCGGACTGCCTTGCCGTGAGTACACAGAAGCGGCAGCGAATAATTGAATATAAAGCGGAAGCTCTTTTATGGATTCAGAGATGGATTAGAGATTATTATCAGAACGCAGGGGCGCACTGCAAACTGGAAGTGAGATCGGAATTAGATGGCTCGGAAAGCCATTCTCATGGTCACACGTGCCGCCTAATAAATGGACGCCCATCCATCTGATGCAAAAGCCAATTTCTTATGTTTGCACAAGATCAATCAAATTTCTTGAATCAAGCTGCGCTTGGAATTGGTATGTAGAAAATGTATGCTGCAGCGGCTCAAAATAAAGCTCACGGAATCTCAGAAAACGTTAACGTCATTTATTTATCATTTATTTCCATATGTATATTGGACACGCTTGATATGATGCAGAGGATGATTCAAATAGAAATGCTATCAGCAACTAAAGAGACAGCAGTCGTACGCAGTTATAGTCACAACAGTTGGTAGCGGGTGGTGCCCAACGACTGGCCTGACCATTTATAAGCAAATTACGAGGCTAGGATGCGGTGGTCAAAAGATTCTTGGTGTGCGTATGAACTCTTGAATAGCGCACTAGGTGGATCGGTTGGTGAATTAAATATTGCACAAATTCTGCTCTTCTTGTAGTGCATTTTCATTGAATGTCAAGGGCCGTATGCAGCACTACCGGTCAGGAATTGGTCCCCATCCCGGTATGCAGCAGCCCTGGTGGCGACAGATGCCGTCATTGACTGGCGGTTCTATTGTGCGATCTTTAAAGCAACAGTCCCAGCAGGGTTTTTACCTTCGACACTAATGGTGTGGAACGATGCGCTAGCCCTAGTCAAGAACATAAGAAGTGTGACTGAACAAAAAACTCACCTTGGAAAGCCGCTAGAAAGGGAGCTGAACGGCTTCGAAGTGGGCGTGGTTAGAATCGGTCGAGCAACTGCACAACCACGCCCACTTCAAAGCCGTTCAGCTGCATTTCTGTCGGCTTTCCAAGGTGAGTTTTTTTGTTCATTCACACTTCTTATGTTGTGGCAAGGCAAGCGATATCGAACACCATTTGGTCGATAGGCAGGGTGAATATCGCTTGAGGATTCCTCAACGGCACGTCGAGGATTCTCTGCCCGATCAGAGACGATCTCTCGCGCGGACATTCACACTCGCCATGCCGTGCCGTCTGTGCTCTCCGCGCGGATGTTCACTCTCGGCACTACTCTCGCATGGTAGAGAGCTATGGTCGAGGAAATCCTCGACCGTTATTCACCCTGCTCGAAGGTAAACCCTGCTGGGCTGTTTCACAAGTGATGGTGGGGTTGTCTGGGTCACAACCCAGCATTCTTTTGAAACATTCTTAAGGCGAACGGCGGCCAAAAACAGCAGTTAACAAACAAATCAAGTCAAAATCCCTGCTATGACTGTTGCCTCAAACGACATTGCGGTCTTCCTTCCCGACCGATAAGTTGGGGCTGTTGCTTAGTTTTAGCATCATCTGTCTCCAGCTTTCGCTTTTGTAGATATTAGACACTGGTAGCTATTGTGTAACACTGTAACATTTCGATGGTTTTATTCTTTTCAGGGTAACATGCGGATAGAGACTTGTTATTTCTGCTCTTCACCGATCTATCCAGGTCACGGTGTTCAATTCGTTAGAAATGACGCCACAGTACGTTTCAAAGTATCATTTGGCAAATAAAGTTTAAAACATACGGTGCTATTTCAGATTTTCAAGTTTTGTCGATCGAAGTGTAACAAACTCTTCAAGAAAAAGCGTAACCCAAGAAAGCTGCGCTTTACTAAAGCGTCTCGTCGAGCCCGTGGAAAGGTATTCAGTTCGCCCATAGATCAGCTCTATGTCAAGAGTTATTAATATATTCTAAATACCATTTTTTCTCAGGAACTTGTGAACGATGTAACGCAATTGATGGAACAGAGAAGAGATGAACCAGTGAAGTACGAGCGGGAACATTGGTCTCACATAAGAACAGTTGAAGTCGGTTAAAACAAGTTTCCACAAGTCAAGCACAGAGCGTGAGTTCTTCATGGGTTTCCATGCTTGCATTCGGGATTCTCATCATTCTGCTACAATTTTTGTTCTTGTGCTCAATTATGTGTTGCTTGACTGGAAGCTAGCCACTGCTGCATAGTCGTCAAACCGGTTTATTGATTTTAGCATGCTGAGGTCTGCTGCGCGCTGCATTATGTTGGTTCAAGACCGCATCTTTTCGAAAGGCTTTCCCCGCGAGCCCGTGACACCAGGCAGTATGTCCTGAAGTTTGGAAGCAAGCACTCAAGGATTTATTGGTGAAGATTTTGCGTGCAACGGTTGTCAGAGAGCATGTATGCTGTAAGTGAAGGGATTGAATTATTACGAGCAAAGAATTTCATGAAAACGCACGAGATATGGAACTGTCATTATGATTCATGTTTTTTGATGTGTTCAAAATTTCTTTTGAGCTCCTATGCGCTAGTTGCTAGGTGGGGGGGGGGGCATTCTCGGAGTGTGCTGATGTATGGGGTTCATAGTTCAGTGGTGAAGTCAAATTAATGGGAAAGGACATGTTCGTAGAGCAGTCGGAACTGGCATCTCGAGGTCGTTCACTTGCAGAAAAGGAAAACCTGCAGATGTCGACAATTACTTTTTTCTAACATCAGACGTTCAGCAAACACAGAGAAATTTTATCGGAATGAATGCAGATTTGATTGGGTCAGGTTGCAGCGTATGGAGGGCGTGCACCAGAAAGGGAACTTTGAACGGTGCATAGAGAGTTGAGCATTGAACGTGTCAAGTCTCTTCTTTCTGTTGCTCATTTTGACCCAAAATCAAGATGTGGACATCCATTCTTCAATTTCATCTGTTTTTCAATTAATAAGTGTAAAGCTTGTTTGAATCCAGTACCCCTAATTCTTTGAATTAAAAAATTGAAAGTCCACTTTTAAGATATGCCAACTTGATTCGAAAATCCCTACAACCCGGTAAAATTGTGAAGAAGGCTGGAATGATCAAAAAGGCCGAGACGAAGTTGCATCTTATTCGTGCTCCTGTTGCCAACAAGGAAGCGATCAAACAGAAGCAAAAACAAAAGGAACAGGAAATGGAACTCAACTGATGGCTTTTGCGTTGTTATAGCATTGAATGAATATTTTCAGCAAGATTCTTGCTTGTATATCTCAAAGGTGGCTTTTTCGTCATATTGTTTTGTTGCTTCAAATAAATCGAATTCTGGCTTGGTCTTGTTTCATCGTGCGTCAGGGGATTTTATAAGAAATTTATGGAACTGGGGTGGATTTTAGAAAAAGCGCCCACTTATGTCGATGTATATGTAAATGCAAGCATTGCGAATCGTCGTGACTTTTTTTATGACTGTGAAGTTTGTTTTTGTTTGTTACATTTGTTATGTTGTTGTCAGATAAAGAATATCCTAATTATTCCGATGTGTTGTATTTTATGGGATGCTCAGTCATTTTTATATTTTTTTTTAGCTTTTATTTCAACGATCTTCTGAAATATGAATTAGTGCTGCTGGGCGCTGATATTAATTCTGGTTTTCCTGTTCTTTCTGTTTCCTAGGCTCGCTTTTCGCATCAGTGAGCATCAATAACAAATTTTCTTTGGAATAGGTGTACAAGGCTTCTGCTAGCTCATGCAGTAATTAATGACTGTTTCTGATAATGTTGGAGCATAGTCTGCACTTTAGGGTTTGTTCATGTCGAGTACCCAATCTGAAGAGCGCCTGACGACAGATAACTTGGAATCCCTGAAAGAGGGTGAAGTATTCGTTGACAGTGAAACAGGCAAGAAGTACCGAGTGAAGAAAACAATCCTTCCACACTACGCTTCTTCTGGGCCTTATGGATTGGGTAGGTACGATTTGTTACGGTTGAAAGTTCCATTAAAGAAATTTGACTACGTTCTGGTAGCACATTGGGATTTTATCAACAGACAAAGAAAGGATGCCAACTATCTTTGTCTGAAAGTTGTTATAACCGTCGTTTCCCGCTACACTTTTACATGGTGGTTCGTCCCACGTCCTGCAAACCGGCCGGGCTGCAAATCCTCTTCGTCGTGATTAAGCGTTCAACTTCCTGAACACGATCACCAGGCATTTCTCTCTTTTCCATTGGAGGAATTCCAGCCGGTGGTCACCGCGGTGAACGACGCGGCACCTGCAAACATGTCACAATTTCTGGGCGGATGGTAAGCCATCTGAGGATGAGCCATGCCCCTCACCCATAGCTTAACTGTCGCTCCAGGGGACTTGGTTGACCTCAGAAATTCGGATGTGAGAGGGGGGGGGGGCGGGCGGCAAAAAGCAAATTTCCAAATTTTTCCCGTTCTGCTTCCCATCCAGTTTTCTCGTCTTCGTATTGTCTCTCTCAGCATAAAGAAACGGCGCTTCTCAGGCTTTACAGAGAATGTTGGCTAGGGTGTCAGATGGGTGATCGTCGCAGGCTTCGCTGATTTTCTGCAATCCTTTGCGACTTGCGCCCATTCGCGGCGACACTGCGACGCGCAATCGCAAAAAATTCTAAAGTGCCCCACTTGCAATATTTCGAAATCACTGAAATTATTTGACAGCAAAGTGCATCCGTATGGCAGTCGCATTAGCCATCACTATCAAGCAGAAGTTATGCGGAGGGATGGAATCACCTTGCAGTTCTAATCACGCACTTGTGATTCTGTGACCGTCGCAGTGAATAGGCGCAACACCAGCCGAAACAGCGTGGTTGAATCCGACGAAATCAGCGAAACCAAGCGACGGATCGCGGGACTCCTGACACAGCTTATTACCTAAGTGAAGAGATCCCCCTCTCTCCAATTAGGGATTTCTGTGCAGGACTGTAACTGCACCTTGTCACTTGTGTAAACATTTTTGAGGCAAAATGAGCTTATAAACGCGAATCAAGGCGTATGAATCAGCGAAGCGATGCAACTTTTGATATTGTAACCCCTTTGAAAAAATTGGTGGCTCAACACCTATTGGTGAATGTAAATATACACATAATGCTACCGCAGACTTTTTGGAGTCCACCATCACCAAAAAGAAGTCCACTGTCCATTTGACAGGAAAACCCTCAAGGAAAGTGACTGTGTGGTTTAATTACCAATTCCTGTACTATGTATCACTGCCCGTGATTGTCTTGATCTTCTTCTCTTCGAAAAACAGTATCTGTGGGTTGATTTGCGTTTGTTGCTTGTTGTTTTGTTTAGCTTTGACCATAAGTTCCATAATGAGGGCGACATGCTCACCTTTTGCCTGATAGGACTTCCGCCGTAGCCTTGAGAGGCTTCTTTAAGGCGCATGGCATAAAAACTGACAGTATTTTGTATTGTTCAAAGGATAAGCATTTGCCGTTGATCAATCCCTTTTTGGGATGCGGCACGCATTCTACTTCCATTTGTACATTCGTAGTGGCATTTGAATGCGATGTGGCCTATACAATGACTTGCGGGGGCCAGCCGATGTTCAAGTCAGTGTTTTTATCCTCCCAGACAAGTCTGGTACCAATTAACCGACCCCGAAGGGATGGAAGACTTCGTTGGTCACGAACCAGGATTCGATCTCCAGACTCTACCACTTGCCGCTCTGACGTTTTCGCCCCTTTGTTTGTTTAGCGCTATTATCACTGCGAGCGTTTGTCAATGAAAAATGTTTGAATTGTGATCTCACCATAAAGATAATTAATTTATCGCCACTGCATAGAAGACTTCTTTCCATTGCTATAATACATATTATTTGCATTGGTTGATCGGTCGCGCTGTTTACTTAATTGTGATATATTTAGGAGACCCTGATGATCGAACGTTACGGCGTATTGAGGCCGATGTCATCATACCCAACCGAATGAATGCACAGATTGAGAAGGTTGAGTGTAATGAGTCCTACTTAGGTAAGTCCTTTTTCAAATGCGTAAGCTCTCTTTGTTTCCCTTTCTTTATATAAAACTCGAAGGTGTCATAGGATC